TGGAATTATTAACGGCGGACCGACAATAATTGTAAGTATTATTTTTAATTTTTCCTTATCATATGGAGTATCAATATATCGTCAGTCAACTATTCAACTAAAAATGATATGTTCTACTCCACATCACGAAATAATCAGGTCACACCCAACTAATGAAGTATATGTATATGTATGTATGTATATATATATATATATATATATATATATATATATATATACACACACACACACACACATATACATACTAGTTTTCTACATGCGCGTTGCGCAATGAATAAAATGCCCAATGATTTTTTTTGAAAATATACACATTAGGTGTTGATTTGATATGATTACTTTTAGTTTTAAACATTTTTGGGGGAGGCCCAAAAATAAAATAAAAAATGCAAATGCAAATACGAGCTAGCCCCTATTTTTGTAATTTCAAAATAAAAAATATCACTAACATTGTGATAAATATCTAGTACATAACTAAATATTGTTGGCTCACATTCGATCTAATATAATACCTTCACATGATAATATACGACATACGAATGAGAGGTACAATAAAAATAATACGTAATTTAAAATTACTTTTAATAATATCAACTATCTCAATCTGAATAGATAACAAAAGTGACATAGAACAACTCCTAACTAAAAATTCAATCATTTAATTAAAAAAAAGTAATGTCAAAATATTAAATAAGTGATCATATTATATTGTCAACTATCATTTATTTGATAGTTTGATATACGTTTTTGATGTCTTAAATGATTGAATTTCTAGTCTAAAAGTGGTTTCATATTATTTTTGTTGTTTATTGAAATAGTTGATATTATTAGAAATCATTTTCAAAGTATGTATTATTATTGATTCATTCAAGATAGTTGTTATCGGAAAAGTGTTTGTGCTTAGGAACAAAATCGGGGCATACTAAGATGAGAAGCGGTTATTTTTTTAACAAAATATTATACCGAGTAATTTCAAGATACACTTTTATAGACCTAAGAAAATGTAGTGGAAAAGGATAGAAAGTAAGAATTATACTCTTCTTCAGCACATTTGTAGAAGAGTCCATCTCCTTTCTTTTCTTTTGACACTTATTTCCTTCTCACTTTACCCTGTAGAACATATTACTCACAAAACTTGTAGCTCAGGACTTGAATAATCCTTTTGATAACAATGAAATTGATTGAATCGACATATTTTGTTAAATTTTATTAAATTCTGATAAAATTGTCTAAATGTGTCAAATTATAAAAGCATATACTTTACAGAAAAATAAATACAATAGACTTTTTCTTCTAATTCAGCATAAAAGTGACACCAATCTAACAATAGCCAATTTAGCGTGTTACCAGTATTTGATTAGTATGATAAGTCAAAATAGAGGCTGAGAAACAAGATCAAAGTATTTACATTACTAACATAAAATAAACTTGTAACAATTTTAGTAGTAATCGTTTAATACTCCCTCCGTTCAGTTAAGATAGTCTCATATTTCCTTTCTTGTCCTTCCACAAAGATTGTATTATATCAAGTTTGGTAATGTTTGTGTGGTTTAAAATCATTTTTCTTACTTTATTTTCACTTTATCAATTCAATATCAATCACATAAATTCACTTTTGGGTAACCACACCACTTTCTCTGGTACTAATGTTACGGGAAAGAATGTAGTAGCAAATGAGGTAAATTTTCCTAATTAAGTCACCTATCTTCCTCAAAATTAATTAAGAGTCCATTTGATAACTTGTTTTTCAGCTTGTTAGCCTTATCCATCAATATTTTTATCAAACATGTAATTTTTTATTTGTCAACTGTACAATAATCAAATAAGGATTATAGTGAATTGAATGCACAACCTGTATAAAAATGATGATAATGATTTGGTAATTCAATACTATTAAATTATCCATGTTCTTAAAATTAATGCTCTGTAGTAAAAACATAAGTAAATAATTTTTTGAAAAAATAAATAGTGCCCTTACACGGAGGATAGACAAACGTGCATCTACCCATATACTCCGTATGATATATTTGTAACGACGATTCGATCGCAAGTATGCATAAATTAGAATGTAAAATCAAGTGATAATTAATTTAATATTAAATAGAGATTTATGCAAATATTAACGGTGATAGAGTTAGGGGAAGGAAGGTCTCGACTTCTTAAGTTAATGGAGCAGACTTCTTAAGTTAACGGAGCAATTAAGAAACATGGAAAAATGAAAGGAGAGTATAAAGTGTAAAGTGTAGTGTACAATCACTTATTGCTATAAAGTTTCACCAACACATTTTTCACAACTAAAAGGCCCTAACTCTCATTGGCCTTTATAAGATTATATATATATATATATATATATATATATATATATATATATATATAGGGAGCAGTTCCGGTAAGAACATATATTATGAGAGAAATGAGAACGAATCTGATTGAATTGTGTGGAATTGAATTGTGCATTTGGTGAAACCGAAATGTGCATTAGATGATATTGAAATGTGCGGAATAAAAATTTAAACTCACATGTGCATTAGGTGAAACTGAAATGTGCATAATAAAAGGTACATAAATAACATCACATTGTACCTTTTATTCTGCACATTTTAGTTTCATCTAGTGCACATTTCAAATTCACCTAATGCACAACTTAGCTTCACATAATACCATTACATTGTACCTTTTGTGCTGCACATTTCAATTTCACCTAATACACATTACAGTTTCATCTAATGCACATTGAATTTCACATATACATTATATATATATAACAAAAATATCCCGAGGAAACACTAAGTATATGATGCGATTCAAAGAAGTGTTGGGGAAAATACGACCCCGACCTCTTCCAGGATCACCAGCTCAAATGACTCTTGTACACTCGCGCATCCTCTCGTAACACAAACTCTCAATCTTACAATTCACTTTGTATTATACAATTGAATGTACAAGAGATATTTTACAAGTAAACAGGTAGCTCACATAACTCTTTGTATATGAGAATGAAACTACTTGACTCTGACACTCTCTCAAGGAGGCACTCACTCACTCAAGAGCTCTCCTTGATGTTCTCTCACTCATCACTCAAGGAGGCTCTCTCTAGGCTCTCTCTCAACGCCCTCCCATATGAATTATGAGTCTCTCCTCTATTTATACTAAACTCTTCGAATCTTCTCTAGAACTTTCTATGCACTACTATACTTCTAGAATCTTCCAAGAAGTATCCACAAACTTCTCTATTCTTCTTTAAGGATCTAGAGAACTCCACACAACTTTAGAATGTTCAAGAGGCTTCCACACACTTCTGTATGATTCTAGAGAATTCCACACTTCTTTAGAAAAATCCACAATGTTCTAGGATATTCTACATTCTTCCACATGTTTCTAGATAATTCTACTTCTCTCTAGAAAGCTCCAGAATATTCTAGAACATTCAATACTTATCTACACACATCTAGAGACTTCTAGACATCTCCGAAGTATTCTAGAATTCTCATTAATTTCTCAATTAAGGAGAGAACCCAACAAGATGAACAATACGTTGATATATTTTTTCCCCTCAGAATTCAATTTACATATGACCCATTTTTTGAAAAATAGGAAATAAAGTATTTCCCAATGGAGAGTGTGAAAAAGTGGCGATGGAAAGGCAAAATAAAGTGATGAAAAAACATACTCCGTTTAACTTTAGTTGTTTGTATGCATTTTCCTAAACGTAACTATTCCACAAGCAAAAAGAAAACTTACAAAAAGCTCTCTCACTATAATTTGTGTTACAAATTTCATTCACTAAATATGAAACCATCGAACATACTCCGTAATTTTATCAAATATGTACTCTTAATTTTCATGGTTTTTCTCGTTAAATTTACTAAAGAATATTACTTTATCTATTTTTCATGTAATCTAATTATAAAAACATTTTAAATAAATTTTTATTCGTAACCGATCAACAAATTCAATAAATCTAGTCAATTTCAGTGTGACCAAGCGAACTCTACACAACACTCTTATGATAATAATATAATAAAGAATTTTATCAATTCAAAACTTGAAATATCGATAAATTATAATCCGGAACCTAGAAGATGAAATGTGTCGATATAAAGCTCGAATGATTGAAAACTATTAATATAGGAACTAAAATTCCATAGGTTTTGATTTATTTAATTTTTATTAATTCCATTTGTGATTTTTAATGATTTTATTGACAAAAGTTTATTACTTTAATACAATTATACAATATTTTAAAATTTTAAAATAAAATAATAATAAAACTCATGAGAAATTAGATACTAGATTGATAGTTCTCAACAATTCATGCCATATATCATTATAATTCATCTTTCAGATTCCGATTTGATAACTCTTGTATCTTTCAGGTCTCGAATTGATAAAGTTTCTAATAATAATGTTACATCTAGTAATAACCTTTTCAACCTTTACTTAATTACAATTTTGGCTCCTACGCGTTAGTCTTTGGTGACTTGTGAGTTTTGTGAATTTTCACTTTTATTCAATTTAAGATTGAAGTGTGCCTATATTTCTGCAATCATTTTTCTTTTAAATGCACCAGTTTTTTCTTATTTAAAAGGTGATGTAATTTGATTATATAGTTCACAGTTTTATAATCACTCGATTAATTATAGAAGATTTTCTAGAATAATTGATAAAAATGTATAAAAGTAAATATAATTATCGTGTAAAGCTAAATGTAATAATAGTTGTGAAAAACCTAATGTTGTCTATTACCTTTATTTTATTATTTTATTATATTGGTGATTATGTCTTAATTACATTAAAAAAGGTTATCAAGGAACTATTTGTGTTGGTTTAGACTACAAAGTCAATAACAAAACATAAAATATACGCAGAACAATAGTGTTCTAAAGTAAACACACTGAACAAATAATTTTTTTTATACGAATACAATATTATATACTCCGTACGTAGTACATAGATTATTATATTACTTAATTTAATTTAATCAATCAACTACAAAAAGAATAATTTAGTGACCCTGAATCCCGGAGAGCGGAGGCAACCCCTCGACAGTTCACACTTGCCTTGGCCTTGACAGTTGCCACTTGACTTACTCCATAGATTCTTCTCTTTCTATTATTCCATTTTACTTTTCATTAGATACAATTTCAGAAAATCTACACATTTCCGCACGCATTTGGTGGGCAGGGGAGCTAGAGAATGGGCGAGCACCTGGGAGAAATGAAGGGGAAGTACCCTTCAAGTGATGGGAATGGGGAAGGGGGTGGTGGTGTTAGCTGTAGCATTAATCACAACAGAAAATGCAGAGATGTGGTGTTTCTGGTCATCTTCATTGCCTTCTGGATTTCTATGATTGTGAATTCTAGCTTTGGGTTCAACCGAGGAAACCCATTAAGGTAAAAAAAAAATCTTTCTTGCTTACTTTCTTGATCATTTTTTTCTTGTGAAAGTTATTTTCCTTGGCTTTCCGGATGTTTAGGTGAATTTACTCTTTTTCTTTATCTTTACACCATATTTTAATTACGTAAAGTTAGGTTATTGCATTCATATCCGGGAAAATTTTGCTTTTGGGTGTTTTATAATCTTATTCTTAATCTGGAGTGTAACTGCCACTTCAATATATGATCAGAGTACTACGTATATTTTAATGTTAGCTGAAGTGCTGAACCAAACCCACACAACTAGTTAATAAAGAAGTTGAATTTAGTACTAGGTAGGACTCTAAAGTAAGGATTTTTTAGTTTGTCTCCCCATTTTAAGCCTTGAATTTGCATCCCATTTTAAAGTAATTAGCACTTGCACTCTAAAGTTCAAACAATCTTTTAAAAATGGGTCGCAAAATTTAATTTTTAGGCTGTAAGTACTAATTATTTTGAAGACGTGGGAGGAAAATCCAATTCCATTTAAAGAAAACCGTGGTCTAATTGATTGGATTCAATATTTTAATGTGGGTTGGTTCAAGTATTTTATAGTTCAATTGAGTGATCATAAGTCAATCATGAATTTTCCATGTGAGGTGTGATGAGTTCCAGAGGTTTGATTTTAAACTAAGTTATCAATTCAATTCGTCTTCTAGTGTGCTTTGAGGTAAGTATCTTATGATTCAGTTTAGGGATCCCAATTCAATCCTGAACTTTATGACATATGAAGCCTACCTATCCCCATTAGAACCCCTGGACCGCTTTAGATCCAATAAAGAATTCCAGAGATCTTTCCTTTAAACTCTTAATTAATTAATTAATTAATTAATTAATTAATTAATTAATTAATTAATTAATTAATTAATTAATTAATTAATTAATTAATTAATTAATTAATTTTTGAATTAGATGTAGAGGGAAAAATGAAGGCATCAATATTCCCTTTCTGTATATCAACAGATCTTTGGATTTGAGTCTGACACATTGTTTTAGTAATCATGTGTTGAACAACCATGATTCATGAACACCAACCACATTAAACACCTCTCAGGTGTGAGATGCCAAAAATCTTGTTCAGCTGGTTTCAAATGTATAGATGGGCATTTTCCAATTTATAAATAACTCAATTTTTTTATATCCACACATTTTTGTTATGTTGGAAGATTGAATCGTTATTTAGGCTTACTAAGATCGAGTTTCTTGTTACATACTTCATTCTTTGAGATGTTGATATGTAAAATTTGTATTTCCCACTATGGGATGATTTAACATGAATGCTTCTGGTCTACTTATATTTGCAGGTTAACATATGGCCTGGATTATAAAGGCAACACATGCGGTGACCAACATGCAGACCCTAACCTTCATCACTTGGAACTAAGATATTGGGTGAATCCCAATGAGGTTTATCAAAGCGGTTTGAAGCATGGTGAAGTTAGCCTTCCGAACGCACGAAGTATTTGCTTGTCAGGCTGCCCTACTCCATCGGATGAATCTCTAAATTGGGTCTGTGATTATCCTGAGGGTGACATTCATCTCTCAGTCAAAGATTGGATTCATAGGAACTATGATTATTTTACTGACCTTTCTCCTGATTTGAGAAACAATTCCCTTCAGCTTTTGGGTCCTTGTTACCCTGTCTTATTTCCTAGTCTTAATGGTAAGTTGCTAAGAATGTTCTTCCATAGCATTGTGAGTGCTATTAAGAAACTTCCTATCTCTCTAAAAATATACTTCGTATCTTCCCTTGTCCTAAAGGGAGGTTAGGAATTATGTGAGAACTGATAATGTTATTCTATTGACTTATGTTTCCAGTTTATTGGAGCTGCCAATTTATTTCTAGTCCATCTAATGTGTCTTTGAAACATTGGAGGGAAATGGGAGGAGCAAACATTGTTGTGGATGGTGATATGGACAAATCTATACACAACTCTATCAACTCACGATCATCAGTCTTTAAGGTGACTTTACGTGACCCTCCCCAACCAACCTTTTACTTATTTATAGGGTTTTGACATAGATATGACCAGGGGCGGATCCAACTTTTTAAATCAGGTGGGGCCAAAAATTGATTAAACAACGTATATTGCAAAAAAATTGTCAAAACGTAGTAAAATAGTTCTAGTATTTTATTTAACAAAATTTATTTTCAAATACTATGTATAAAATAAAATCTTTTGCAACATAAATGTCAAAGAAAAAAATAAATATGACAGGAATAAGTGTAAAAAGCCAACACGGTAGTAGATTGCACCTCAAATGCATACATATTAAAGTAATTTGCACCTACCAAGCCCAATGAATTGAACAAATTAATTTTTCAGACTAATATTTAAAAGCCCAATAGCATTCAGACAAAGAGTTTTTAGAAGTAAAAAAAAATAAATGTTTACACACTATTGAAAAGTTAAAAAGAAATGTTGTCCCTGGGATTCGAACTACGAACATGCAAGCCAACACGGTAGTAGATTACCACCTTGCTAATACGGAATCTATGCTTATTTTGACATTCTTTGTTATTATACCTTATTTAACAACACTACATATAGTGTAATACATATATATACTAGTAAATTTATTTTTTTTGACTAAAGGAGATGACTAAAGGAGAGCTAAAGACAAAAATATGCCTTTTTTAAATAGAAAAATAAGGAATGGTTATATAGCTTACTCTGAATATGTCAATGCCAATGATGTCACCGACAATGGCACCATCTCACACAGTCACATGCCAGTGTTACCTGGAGCGGTAAATTCCAACAATTTCTTCATGCAATTTTTTCAGAGTTCTCTTGGAACATCTTTTGCATGTCGGTGGCGGGCATCGTCATCTGTGTAAAGGGTGGTAGGGTACATACAGGGTTGTGAGATCATTAGACACTTTTTGGCAACAAAACTTGTCATATTTTTGTCATTACGGATCCTAGTAGTAATGTTGTTGGCATTTTCTATTTATTTATTTGTTCATCTATTTATGGTTATGGACTTGATGCATACCAAAAGAGCATTTACTTTTTAAATATACACCGTTCTTATTCATTTAGTTAGGATTCAATCATGCATCAATCTGTGTACCTAACTTGTATTTAGCCTGTGCTCAACTCTGTAATCCAAGCATATTTGTTTTACAACGTATTTAGATTCAATATGCACTTGTGCAGAGATATGTTGCTGATGTTGAGAAATCATGGCCTGTCTTGATTGTATGTGGTGGAATTGTGCCAGTATTCCTTTCAGTTATTTGGCTTTTAATGATTCGCTACTTCGTTACTGCCATGCCATGGATTACGGTTGTCCTGTTTAATTGCCTTATCATATCAGTAGGAATGTTCTACTACTCAAAAGGTATGGATATATAATTATCAAAAACCATACTGTGTCCCCCCATGCTTAAATTTAATAGTTTTAGTTTAGTATGATTTACGAAATTCATATTCAATTTCCTTTCTTTTTTTGTAGCTGGATGGATTGGGAACAGTGCAATATCCCCCATCATTGGTGAACATGACCCGTATTATAATGTGCCTGCAAGGGTATATTTTGGCCTTTTTCTAGCTTTCTTTAACTGCGTTCTCATTTTTAACTGTTTCTCTGTGGTTTACTGAAACTTTTTTACCTTTAGGAGTTGAGCCATCTCTATGCCACCAATGTTTTCATGACCATTATCATGGTTATTGCATTCCTATCATCCATTGCTATAGTGCGACGCATCCTCATGGCAACATCTGTTCTCAAGGCAAGTTCAAATCACCATTACCATATTCATGATTACCTCCTATACCAACACATTATAACCATCATCATCATCATAAATAACTATTAAATTTGTGTATAACTCACCCAAAATAGTTACAAGGACATAAGATTTACCTCATATGGCCGGATAAATAGGTTCAAAGTAAACAAAGAAACCATAACCATACCATACTATGAGATCAACTAACCTTGATCTTGAGGAAAGGATTACCCCATTATATACATTAGCCACTTATCTAGTACAAACCGGATGTGGAGGCTTAGAAATAATAATAAGGATCCTTTTTTACAGGTTGCTGCCAAAGTGATTGGAGAAGTGAGGGAACTAATAGTTTTTCCCATAATTCCATTTGCCATCCTCGGGATCTTTTACATACTGTGGTTTGCAGCAGCATTCTATCTTTTCAGTTCTGGACATGTTATTCAGAATGATTGCAGCAACAACTGTTGTTCTTATGATCTTAAAGCAAAACAAGTGAAGTGTGATCATTGTTGTGGCTTTAGTGTAAAATATACCCCTTATATTGCAGTGGCTATTCTTTTCCACTTGTTAGGTGGTTATTGGGCTACACAGTTTATTGTGGCATGCTCCTCAACCATCATTGCTGGCTCTGTTGCTTCTTATTATTGGGGTCGAGATGCAGTGTCGGTGAGCCATATATTGTTTTTTTACCATTTTTACAAATGCATGTTAGTCAATACTGTTGTTGAAAATATCTTCTTCAAATGCAGCCTGATATTCCATTTTTCTCAGTCATTTCCTCAATGAAACGGCTTATGCGTTACCACATTGGGTCTGTTGCCCTTGGTTCTCTAGTTGTTTCTTTCACAGAGTCTATCCGTTTCATACTCGAAGTGCTTCGTCGCAAATTTAAAGCAACTAATTCCACACAAGAAAGTTGGGGGGACAAGATGGTTTTTAACACCTCAAGGGGTTGCTCGAAATGTATTAGCTGGATTATCAAATCTGTGAACCATAATGCTTATATTATGGTAAGGATAAGGAAGTATGTTTTACTTGTTAAATCATCTCGTCAAATATAAACCTTGAGGATAGAATCTCAAGTATTAATATGGTATCAAGTCCATCACGCTTAACGGCTCACATAAGTAATTCACCCAATTAAGACTAAAAAGAGCACAAGAATTTCAAGATTTGTCTTTTCTAAAAAGCCTCCATCTTGTGTGGCATATTAAACCATGTTTTTTTGTGTGTCTTTCTTTCAGATAGCTATTACAGGAGAAAGCTTCTTCAAAGCTTCAGAGGCTGCAACAGAACTGATTATCAGTAATATCCTCAGAATAGGAAAGGTCAATGTTATTGGTGATGTCATCCTTATTCTCGGGAAGCTATGCATCAGTCTTGCATGCACGCTATTTGCTTTTCTGATGTTGAATAGTCACAAGTACAACTCTGGATACAACAAGATCTCATCCCCACTGTTTCCAGTTCTGGTGTGGTTTCCCAACCCTCTTTAAAAATCAGGGTTAATGTGTCAAACCCTCATGTGATATATAAATTTTATAAGAATTAGCCATCCATGATTCAAAAAATATATCAAATTCTTTTTTGTTATGATTAGTTATGCACGTACTACCTTAGAACGAAAATTATAACTGTCGGGTTAAACCACACGTCTTTGACATTTTAATTATAACTGAATTATTTAATTATTCACACAAATTTACGTACATGGTGCCATGGTGGATCATAACATCAAAAGTGTGTGTTTCCCCGATAGTAAATAATGTTCTTCTAGACTTCATGCAAATAAATTGTAACCCAAGGAGTGTGAATCTTTTTACGCATTTTTTGAATCATGAAGGGCGGATTCATAGCTTATGCGTAGAGTTCGTATACAGTATATAAGAAGGGAACATGGCAGATTAAAACCTTACAAATCTCATTAACCAAACAGCCTCTTAAGGCTTTAGCAAAGTCATAAGTTTGTATGTATATGTGTGTGTATGCGTATACATATATTTATATACAGAGTATGAAAGTGATTTGTGATGCCCCTTTTTGTATGACAGGTATGCTGGGGGCTTGGATATATTGTTGCAACCCTTTTCTTTGTAGTGGTGCAGATGTCGATTGATACCATGATCCTTTCATTTTGCCAAGACACTAGAGTAAATGGAACTGACCACTACACACCACCAGCCCTACTGGCTGAGGCTTTGATGAGTGACCATAATGAGATATAAAGGCACTTTCCACAATCATCCCCTAACCTCACATATACAAGCTTCCTCTAGTAGTCTAGCTTCATACTTTTTTGTTGTGATGTCTATCTCTAGAGTTTTTTTGCCCTTCGTCTTTAGTGTCATTCTCACACTTTTGATAATCGACCACAATGTATATAGTTTCAGGTATGTCTATGCCTATATCTATATCTATAATGTAATAAGTTCCAATTCATATCGTTGTGGATGTATACTACACCTTAATGCATATTTCACATACTTGTGAATTGTGGTGAGCATCACCATTCTATAGGGTCGGGGTGTGGCCTCGGAGCGAGGGATTTTGTCTTTTGTGCCATGTAAAATGTGATGAGGATTTATTTACTTTAGTAAAGACATTATAGTGTACTGATGATTTGAATTCTTACCTAGGTTGTTTGTGTTTTCTGAAGTCGGTTTCCACCTCGAACAGTATGATATGCTCTACCATTTTTCATTACTTCATCCGAATGAAGAAGTGCTAAACAGAGCAGTTTTCATAGGAAAAAATGGATTGTATATAAACTATCAATCTCCTAGACTATTTTAAAAAGGACGTACAATATGCAGGAAAGTGAAGGTTTTTGAGTGGGCCAACAGATTCAATCTATTTTCTTCTCTAATTACAATTTCAGTAAAAGCTACGGAGTATGTATTTCTAGTACTATTTTATATTCTACATAATTTAAAATTGATTGGTAAAAAAATTAGAATTTTCTTTTGTGTTTTAGATGTTAATTTTTATTTATTGAAAACCGTGTTCTTATTTTATTGATTATAAAATAATACTACGTAATACTTTTGTAATACAACCAAATAAAATTAGTACTACATTATTGTTATTTATATAAATAAATTATATTACGGAGTAACTTTTTTTTATAAAACATATTGATAAAAAGAATATCTTCATATTCAATAGTGTCTAGTTAATAGAAAAATATGTCTTACATTTAACTGTAGTGAAATATTGCTGAATTTTGCACATCAACAATAAGAAAAAAGGTTATTAAAAGTAGTTTTTTTATTTTTTGTACTACAAAGATAGACATGTTTCAAATTTCATACTATCCAGTATCCATGCTTTCTTTTACCCTCTTTCAAATCGCAAATTATACCGTGGGATCATCCCACGGTGAGCATGGTGCTCCTGATCTCAAACGGTGTCGTTTGATTATTACAAATGACCGACTTTCTTCAGATTTGCAGACCCGTGCCCTATCAGGTTCGGATGTTGCTAAACTACACAATTAGATCGCTTCTCCTCTTCCCTTCATTGCTGGAATCGCTACCAGAAAGGAGTTCAACTCACTACACCAAACTGAGTCACCTCCCATGGCGAAGTTGATTCTTGAAGATGGGAGCTACAACATTTTCCCTTCCCCATCAAAGCCTCCAATCTCCTTCAGGACCCCACAGTTCTCATCTGCAACTCCGACGACGTTTCCGCCATCAGCACCGACGAGGAGCTCCAGCCCGGTCACCTCTATTTTGCTCTCTTGCTGGCCCGTTTCAAGTGCTCCGTAGTGCTCTGTTTTTTTTTTTTTTGAAGAATGCTCTCTGGTTCTCTTTTTTTGGGCAGCCCTGCTAGTTTCTTGAAAAGTAGTTTGGGTTAAAAAGTTACATTTTTGTTAAAAATATTTACATTTATATTGGTATGAAGTTACATATTCATTTGTGTGAGTTACATATACATATTTTTATGCTTAAGTTACATTATTTTATAAGCGAGTTACATCTTCTAAAGCGCAAGTTACATTTGTTATCAACGCGAGTTACACTTGTAATAACATGAGTTACATAAATAAATCATGTATTGAGTTACATGAAACAAAAAAAAAATTGATTTTTTAAAATCCTTGTGATGGTCATGATATTAAAAACACAAAACATATTCACAATTTATGTAAAGTAATTGTGTGGTTACTCTTTTTTTTCATTGTTTACATTGAAATCAATGTTTCATCTCTTAGGCATCGTATTGGATAAGTTACATTTCAATTGACCTACAGTTACATTTCTTATCAAGGTAAGTTACACTTCTTTACACGCGAGTTACATCACGATATTACTGGGACAAAAAATAAAAAAATTAAAAGCTACTGTTCACGCGTGTTACTGTTCACGCGTGTTACTGTTCACGCGTGAATTTTTTTAATTAAAAGTTGTGCAAAACTATGTCGTTTTAAGAGCAGGAGTATGGTGCTCATCGTGGGATGATACCACGGTATAGCGCCTCCTTTCAAATTATTTTTTGGAGCACCACATACTAAAGACGGGCTTGCATATGGATTTGGTCATACACTAAGGTCTACAATTTATCTCTATGTTTTTATTCTTTTATTTTTTTCCCTCCACACTTTTTCTCTATGTTAAAGTAAAATATTCAGCTCACTCTATGTACCTCTCATGCGGCATAAGTTGGACCTTACTAGACTATACCCTCCCATTGAAGATGCTCTAACTTAGCTGCCTAACTTGGTCGTATGAAAATATTACTCTCTATGTAATATTGGAGAACAAGGGTTTCAGACTAAGTAGAAGTAAGACAGAGTACATGGAGTGCAAGTTTGGTGGAGGTAGAAGCAGTGGTAATAGCGGAATTACTTTAGATGGTAAGGAGATACCGGTCAGCGATATGTTCCGTTACTTGAGCTCCATAATTCAGAAGGACGGTGAGTTAGATGGAGATGTATCCCATAGAATCAGAACAGAGTGGATGAAGTGGAAGAGTGCGTCAGGATTTCTATGCGATCGAGGTATGCCGACTAGACTGAAGGGTAAATTTTATAGGACAGCAATTAGGCCTGCATTACTGTATGGCACAGAGTGTTGGGCGGTGAAACAATGTCACATTCAAAAGATGAGTGTGGCAGAGATGCGCATGTTGCGTTGGATGTGTGGGCATACTAGAAAGGACCGCGTGAGGAATGAGACAATTAGACAAAGGGTGGGAGTAACACCTATTGAAGATAAGATGCGGGAGTCACGCCTACGGTGGTTTGGTCATGTGCATAGAAGACCGAGTGATGCACCTGTCAGACGAGTTGAGATGTGTGGAGAAGAGGTAGGGAAGAGAGGGAGAGGAAGGCCCAAACAGACGTGGGTTAGGGGAGTTAGAAGTGATATACTTCTTCTTGGATTGGATTAGAGTATGGTTTTGGAGAGAGCAAAATGGAGGGCGGGTATTCGTGTGAAAGAGTGATCTTGTATCATCTTTTCTCCTTTTTTTTCGTTTTCTTTTATATTTTTATCCTTATATATAAATATTACTTTATCCTTTTTATTTGATCTTTTATATGTATATTCATCTCTTTTATATTATCTTTTTTTTATAATAGCTTATCTTTTTTATCTTTATTTTCGTTCTTTTCCTTTTGGTGATATCATATATCGATTCATGTTAGCCGACTCCATTATTGTTTGGGACTAAGGCTTGGATGTTGTTGTTGTTGTATGTATTTATATAATTGTAACATTAGATTTTTCACCGAGTTTAAGAGTCAAAGAGTAGCTGATTGGTACGGGCGTACGGCTAATGGCTGATATAGAAAAAGTGAAACAAATGGGTATGTTTTGACTCAAAAGTATGAAAAGAAGATGAAAATTAAAGGGAGAAAATGAATATTTAGATATTTATAGGTGAAAAACTTACTAAACAGAGAATGGGTTGCAAATCTATAAATATTTTGAAAGGGGAATATGTCACAACTAATCAACTATATAAATGCAGATTTGGTTTTAGCTTAGACACAAAATTTGAGGTCTGGTATGATATTGTTTTAATGATTATTTAAGCTTCGACTTAATTGTAATTGTTTATTTAAATCTAGTCTTTTGTGATGGTGTCTGATATTATGTGTTTCTTATATTTTTCTATTGTTTAAGTTTGATATGATATGCTTGTTTGATTTTCCCTTGTTTTGGTTGATGCATTTAACTTTGTTTAAGTTTGATCTAATGATATGAAATTGATAATAGGTCAAGTGATAACCTATGTTGCACCGATACTTCACATCGATGTCGTATCCGCGTATCCGATATGTATCCGTATCCGTACTCACCGATACGCGTCCTATACGTATTGGGTCCGTATCCGTAATTTAATAAAAGTATCAGGCTTAATTTTAAAAATACCGATACTTTCGATACCCATATCCGTGAACCGATACGCGTATCTGACCCTATAACCCCTCATTTGATACACGATATGACGAAAATTTAGTAGCCGCCTGTTCGGGTTCGGTATCATCATACGCATGCATGAGGGACTACGTAACGCATGCATGCCCATTAAGTTTGGAGTCTTATGTATTTTAATCATTGTTTATTAATTTATTTTAATTTGTACATCCTTATCTCTTGTACTTAGCCGGATAAGTAGTAGTTGATTAGTTGTACAATTCTATCCGATTAGCAACGTAGGCTTCGATCAAAGTGTATATATGTAAAGGATGTACAGACTTCATGATTCAATCGAATAAAACAATTTTATTCGTCCAGCTTTTACACCGCCCAAGTGACCACAACATGTGGAACATTGATAAAGATGGTTTCGGGAGTATGGAAAATAATGAAATACTATAATTTATCATTTCATTGCTTGATGAGCTTTAATTGAAACAAGACATATATGTAAATGCAAATAGAGAACAAAAAAATGTTATTTGAATTTAAATCAAAATATTAGTACTTTTGTTTTTTAGTTTTTTAGACTAATTTTTGAAATTTTATTATAAAAGTTAATTTTTTGTACTATTATTATTTTATTTATGAACCCCTGAATTATATATATTTGCAAATTATACCCTATATTTTTATTATTTATAAATATACCCCGTACCCGTATCCTATAATTTTTGAAATTGGCGTATCGCCATACCCGTATTCGCGTATCCGTGTATCGGCGTATCCGTGCAACATAGGTGATAACATCATAGCTCTTTCCTACTAAATTCTTATTATTTTTCACAAACACCTCTTGCTACCCCTTCCCTTCTCTTTCATTTTTGTGATTGAAATATTTCCTCTTTAATCTCCTATTTGTATAAGTTTGCAATAATGGTGGTGATAACACTGATTCCAAAATATCTTCCTTCCCATCCTCCTTTTCTCTATGATATTTTTCTTCCGATTGACTTGATTATGACAATATGACTTAAATGGTAGACACTATATTTTGATTTTTGACTATGGCATTATGACATTCTTAGAAAGGATGGCATTATGGCAATATGCATCAATAGTAATAACATGTTTTTATAATGTAATATCGACAATATGATTTTATAATGATATATTGATGGCATTATGTTCTAAGAAAAAGGCTTCGCATTATTTTTAGTTTTTTTAAGTTTTCACATTTTCCGTCTCTTGATTGTAAGGTCATTTTATATTTGATAAGATGGTTAACAATGTCATAATGATACAACGGAGTGTGATTTTGGGCGTGTTTGACATTCAGCAGTTAGCGAATAACGGATTATGTTAGCGAGTTATTAATAACGGATTCAATCAATGAGTTTGACTAATGGAATAATTTGGCGAGTTGTTAGAAGATGTTTATTATTTAGCTGTTTGATCATAAAATTACTAGAAAACGTCAACCCAAAACTCTCTTATTAGCAGCGCTTTCATCTCAATGTTTCCGTCCGAGTAAAGGGTCAGTTTGGTCCTCGAAGTTGCATAAAAGAGGTCAAATAAGTCCTTATATAGAAGATTCTGTCCGGACGTACCATTTGAGGCGGTTCCCGGTGGAATTTTTTGATAAAATTTTTTGAGCATCTTATTCATTAAGTCTAGTTATATATATATATATATATATATATATATATATATATATATATATATATGATAGGATGCTTTTACGTATATAGGATTCTTCCTCATCTTGGCGAATAAGTCACATTTCCATAAATGCAGTTTACATTTGTATCAACATCAATTACATTGCAGTTAACATGATTTACATGTTTTATTTTCCTGAAGTTACATTTCAATTAACACAACTTACATTTTCGAAATTTCTAAAGTTACATTTTGGATACATTCAAGTTACATATCAATTTGATAAAAGTTACATATATTATACCCTGAGTTACATGTCAACTTTTCTTAACAAGTTACATCATGTTTACATTTGATTTACATTTTCCAAAACGCGTGTTACACCACATGATAATGCGAGTTATATAACACAATAAGCCCCTGCTATTCAAATAAAAATTATTTCTATAAAAAATTCATTTTTATAGACCTGATATTAAAAAAGCATAAACACTATTTATGTAAAATAATTAGGCAATTAGACTTTTTTTTCATTGAAATCAATATTTTATTTCTTATATTATGTATTGGACAAGTTACACTTCAACTGGATTTGAGTTACACTCATCAACGATGTGAATTACATTTCTTTACACGTGAGTTACATCATTCTATTACTGGAATAAGAAAAAAATAAAAAAGAAGTACTGTACACGCTTGTAATGTTCATGCGAATTTTTCGTTTTCTTTTTTTAATTGATTAAAACGACGTATTTTTGAACGTGGAGCAAGGTGCTCACCGTAATGTTTTACGGAGTATATTACGTAGTATATCTTAGCTCAAAAAATAATCTTGAGCTAAGAGCCTAAGATCATTTCTGGAATTCTATTCTATTTTTCGTCTGTCCACAAATGTGATTAGAAGTATTTCTCGTATTTTTGGAAGTTAACTTCTATTCACTCATATTTTGGGTCATTAATTAATCTAATTTTGATTGAGAGTAGTAGAATTTTGGGGTCAAACTAAATTTCCTTCCACTGCCAGGTGTCAACTGCCAACTCAGTCCAGACCGAGAGATATCGACATAGAAACTCGCCCAACTCACTGAGACGCGACTCGCTTGTGTAACCAAAGTCTTCCATGGATCGAGTTCTGAAAGCTGCGAGGACCTCTGGTTCACTCAATTTATCCAACCGGGCTCTCAGGTTGGTTATTTAAATTCGTTAAACGATACATTTGGCGCATTCATTTCTGTTAACTGTAATGCCTCATTTCAGTTAACAATTGTTATCAGGGAAGTGCCAGGTGAGGTTTACCAAAGTCTGGATGCAGTTGGTGGGGAGGAGAAATGGTGGGAGGTATTTGTTCTGTTGGGACTTGTTTATGTTGCTTCTTTGATGATCAAGTTAAAATGCCATTTGTTCCTATTTTCATTCAATGAATTGGAATGTGAAGCCTAAGGCTGTGATTTCTAGGCATATTTGATAAAGCTAAACAAGTTGTTTGTTTTAGTAAAATCCTAAAGAAAAAAGTTTTGTTCGAAAAGCACTTCTTCCAAAAATAGTCTTTTTTCAACAAACCAACATTTTTTCACCTGGCTATTTGGAGCCCTATTGGACAATTGTCTTGCCAAAGATGGACTTAATTGATTGAAAACGGAAAAGGTCGTCCAATGTGTAAAACGTTTTTGTTGTCAAAGAGGCTAGATGAAAGAAAATGACAACTGTTCCCTTAGTTTCATAATTTTTTCCATTACTTAGAACGTTAAACAACTTCATCCATTTCCCCTCAATTTTAAGCAATATGAGGTGGTGAGTCATCGCATCTCAAAAAGGCTCTGGTTTTCCTTTTTAATCATATTTCCATAACAGGAAGAGTTCTAAATAAGTTATGTGAAAGTATTTGTCTCATAGTGCCAAAATATGAGATATTTAAAAGAAATGAGAACATTATGAAACTCCAAGTCTTAATACATATACAATAATATATTTGCGACATAAGGAAGTATTAACACACATTAAGAAAATTGAAATTATGTGATTAGTATTGTACATGTAAAGTATGAATCTGTTCAAACCATACAAGTATTACCAAATATAATGAGACTGAACATTAAAGGAAAGATCAGACCAAAATAGTGGGAGAGAGGGAGTATTATTAGCTTCCTTTAGTTAATATAAGTAATAATTACTTTTGTTATTAGTAGTAGTTTCCTATTATTCTGTTAGTAATGGCATTCCATTCTCATCAATATTTATCATAGCATCATTATAGTAGGTTTATGGCTATCTATCTTAATGAATACATAGTATTTCTTATAGCATCACTGTCCTAGGTTTATATTTTGATAGAACTGACTATTTCTCTATCTTCTCTTCATCTCCCAATCGAACACGTAACGTTATGATTGATGGATTATTAGAGGGTCACCTTACCAAAATTTAAGACTTGTGTCTTGTGAAAACATGAGTATTGTGATACAAAGGTGTTTTTTGGCATATATGCCTATTTGAAGGTAAAACTAAGAAGTGTTTGAATGTAATTGAATGATTTTCAGGCAGTGGAATTGCAGAAGTTGATTTTGGCTCATAATGATATTCAAACATTGAAAGAAGACATCCGGAATTTGCCTCTCTTGTCAGTGCTGAATGTTAGTCACAATAAGCTTTCATGTCTTCCAACTGCTATAGGAGAGTATGTTATTTCAAAATGCCTAAATGCAAAGCTCCAGCTTTTTTTATTTGAAGTTTCAAAGAATCTTCAGCTTACCAGTATGCCTTCACTTCATTTGACTAGGCTTCCGATGCTTAAGTCATTGGATGTGTCGTTTAACTTGATCCAGAGTATTCCAGAAGAAATTGGAGCAGCAACCGCGCTAGTCAAGTATGTTTCTCTATTTTCTAGAGCACATCTTTTTCAACATAACTGATCAACAAAGCAAAAAGTTTTATATATATATATATATAAATGCTTACTCCACTACGCCAGGTTTGATTGCTCAAACAACCAACTGAATGATCTTCCTGATTCTCTTGGAAGATGTTCAAATTTAGCTGAGCTCAAGGTAGTTTCTCTTGATACTGAAGTTAGAAAGTTCTGGATAATTGATCCAGTGCTTCACTTTAATTATTGCTTTTTGAGTCAATCAATAACGTGATTCGTGCAATGGCATAATCATTGTTCTAAAAAGCGATAGACACTAGGTGGGCAGCAGGTTGTGCCCTAGCACCTAGGTGGATCCTGGATGGGGTAGGTGAAACATAGGTGGTGGGATCAGGTGGCATCGATTAGGATAAAATGAGTACACGGCCTAGATAAGTAAATCGCCGAGGCGGGTCTAGGTAGGTATTTTCTAATAGAGGGCAATAATTTTGATAAAAAAATTAATTTGACGAGGCACAGCTAATATTGCATGATCCCAGGTGCACCAAATGATCTGTCCATTTTCTTTTATATTTAGTCATCTCTGACTTCTGATTAGTTGTGCGCATTGTATATCTTACATATGAGTCTGACATTTAGGCATCATGATGCACAAATGTCTTAGGTTTACTCTTGAAAATGTGCTCATCAGTTCAAAGTAAACTAAAAAAATTTTCTTAATTGTTAAGTGTCCTGTATCAAATGTTTATCAGATCTGAGGCTAATATATATGTATGAGGTAAACCGGTCTGCGGTCTTTAAGCGTTGTTGGCGTATTGCTGCACTTTGAGTTTCAGGGAGTGGGAGTTTGATTTGCAAGTGACCGACTTGGTTGTCCACTTAAAAGAGAGTGTTATGAGTTCCAAAACCTGAAAATTAGAAGATTGAGTGATGGTTTAAGTAGACCTTAGGTTGAACGGGCTGATCGATTGTGTTTAATTTGTTAGTGCGGTTTGACCTAAGTGTCTTGTGTCCAGTTGAGTGACCTCAAACCAATTCTGAATTCTATCAATAATATTACTACTAATACTTCATAACAATCATACCAATGTTTCATAATGCAGAGATCAACTTCATTCACTGTAATCTTGGAGATTTTAGATATTAAAAAATGTTTTGTTCATAAGCATATTTTTGTATTTGACTTTGTTCAAGTTTAGATGCTTTCTGTGTGATTTCACTCAGGCCTCAAACAATAGCATTTCTAGATTGCCAGAAGAGGTTGCCAACTGTACAAAATTAATGAAGTTGGAAGTGGAGGTACTAAAGATTCATGTAATTAATTTCTTAGTTTCTGTGCAATCCTTATGAAGGATGTCTTGTAAGCACATTGTGTGTCTTCATACCAGGGAAACAGGCTATCAGTGTTATCCGACAGTTTGTTTTCATCATGCATAATGCTTACGGAACTGAATGCATGTAAACTCCTGTCTTTTCTATTTATTTGTCTTTTCAGTTTTATTATTAACCTGGGTTGATGTATTGCCTTCACGTTTGGAACTTTATCAGCTAAGAACTTGCTGAAAGGAATTCCAGAAAACATTGGAAACCTTAAACGATTGATTCGCCTGGATGTCCATCAAAACAGTGTGTAAAACAAGTTTGATAGATTTTTCAAATTGAGTTTTGTTTTCCTATTATTGCTATCCATATCATTACCTCTTTGTCTTGACTCGACTGATTTACTATTCTATTATAATTATTATACAACTTGCAGGAATTTCATCAATCCCATCATCGATAAAGGGATGTTCCTCTCTTTTGGAGTTTTATCTAGGGTATATATGATATATCCTCAGAGTTTTATATAGTCTATGACTTTCTCTTTTCTGGGTTCTTACTCTTGAGCATTCCTCTCTGATAGGGATAATGCTCTTACTTCATTACCAGCAGAGATAGGAGAACTGACTCAATTGGGATCACTTGATCTGCACTCTAATCAGGTAGTTTCCAACATACTAAGAGATGCTCTCTCTTAGTCACTTTCATGACTAAAGTTTAGCAGAAGAAAGAATTTTAATGATGGAGCATGATCTGCGTGAAAGTACTCGTTGTAATGCTTTGGTTTTTACAGTTAATTTTTAATGGCCAATCACTTTGTTGGTCCATTGGTTATGCTTGCCGGGCTTGCATAAAATATGTTTTCTTTCATGTTGGTTTGTAGTTAATGGAGTATCCAGTGGAGGCATGTAAACTGCACCTGTCAGTCCTGGACCTGTCCAACAATTCATTGTCCGGTTTACCTCTTGAAATCGGTATTGCCAGAATGTTGTGACTCATGTCTGTGGGAATTCTTTGGTGCACTTTTTAATGCATGAATACATTGACATATGTTTCCATATTCACTTTGGAGTTTGTGTAATTAAACTTTAACACTAGATGTCTCTTATTCTGGTTTGTAAAATATTTATTTGATGTCCTCATGTCCCTTGAGTTGCGGTCATGTGGCCTTCCTTGAGTTGCTATTTCGTATGAAAAACATACCTTCTTGAATGTTTTTCTTCATGCATAAGCTAATGTAGGCTGAACATTACTTTAGGACTAATGACAACTTTGCGAAAGCTTTTACTTGCTGGTAATCCAATGCGAACACTTCGGAGGTTTGATTGTCATATTGCTACGTTGATTTTATTTTGTTTTACCTTCTATCGTAGTCTAGTAGATAATACTCATTTGTTCAAAACATAATTTAATTGTTCATCATTTTTCATCCCCAGCTCATTGGTGAATGGACCTACACCAGCTTTACTAAAATACCTTCGAAGTAGACTTCCAACCAATGAAGGTAGTTTGGTTCTTAACTTTTTTTAATGATGGTGTGGTTCATTGCTCATTCTGTCATTGCATTTGTTTGTAGTTTAGTTTCATTTAATAGTCCAAGGGTTTAAGATGATGGTCATGGTGAGTTTTCTTGTTATTATATTTTTTTCCAATACTTTATTTGCTTCTTATGCATGAAAATGTAGACTTTGCTGCGAAAACACCTACAAAAGATGATGTGATATCGATGGCTAGAAGAATGTCCCTTACTTCAAAGGTTCATTTTTATTTTCCCTCATCTTTGATATGTTTGGGGGGGGGGGGGGGGGCTTTCGGGGGTTTACGGATGTAAGTTGTCCAGTTTAAGAATCATAATGTGAACCACCTTCATAATCTTTTGTCTTTCAGGAAATTTCTTTAGTAAAGCTTGGTTTGACAGCTGTCCCATCTGATGTTTGGGAATCCAATGATATCACCAAAGTTGATCTTTCTGAGAACTCAATAGAAGAGCTACCAATTGAAATTTCCTCTTGTGTTTCCCTTGTGGTAATATTTTCTACTGTTCCTATACAGAAGATCGGCAGTATTTAGCAATAGAGGTTGAACCCTAAACACAAAGCCATCGAAAAATAGTAATCCTGTGAAATAATAATGACTTTCCTAAAAGAGTGTCATAATGCATTGCAGTTTATAGGAATGTAGAGCCTATTTTGGAGAGAGAACACATGATTTAGTCTTTTGACTGCATCACTGATTCACTGGACACCATATTGAGCTTGGTCCTCAATTTTTAATTGGACTCGATCCAGTCCTCGACTATGAAATTTGGACCCAAATCTGTTCCTCTTCATATTGGGTTCTACATAAGAAGGGTACTTTTTGCATGCATACAAAATTTAGGAGGAAGAGAAGAATGTGAAGCTATGGTGATCGGAGTAACAATCAAAAGTCAAAACTTCTTGCCCTATGTAAGGAAGATGGTCAACGGTCCCACCGTGAGTCTAAGAATAATGAGAATAGGCGCCAACCTATCTCAACAGAGCTGTTATTTCATAAGTTGATTATATTTATTATTGTTTTATAGATAAGTGATGTCATTATTATTTCACAAAAGCACTAAAGTAGAGCTTAAAGAGTTTAAAAATTATTTAACATATTGTATTGTTGCTTACCCATCATATTCTTTAAACATGAAGGCTTTAATTTTATCAAAGAACAAGATACAAAACTGGCCTAGTTCAATCTTGATGTCACTGTCCAGACTTGCATGTTTGAAATTGGATAACAATCCTCTAAGACAGGTAATTGGTTTAAATTCTGGAATTTTTGTTGTTCCCAAAGCGAAGAAATACAATGCTCCCCTTTTAATTTAATCTGTAATATTAGTACAGTTTTTTTTATATCTGTAGCAGTAGAGTAATGATTCCAATGGTAGAAGACATTATTACTATTAAAATGATACAGTTCCACATGTTTCCTATTAAGTAATCCTGCTGTTGTCCTTTCAAATGCTGTAAAAATGAAAACTACCCATTAATCCATCAAACAACTCAGTTACCCACTGAGTTTTTTTTATTAATGTTAAATAATGTAGTCTATACACTCTGTTCCTAAATAGTAATTACCATCGCTTTTTCAAACCACTTTGTTCTTAGGGAGTGTTTGCGATTGCTTCTACTTTAAAAAAGTGATTTTAGAAAAAGTTCTTAATAATCAAAGTTGGTAGTGTTTGAGAAAAGAAGTGTTTTTGACAAAGTAAAAGTTGGCAGTGTTTGGTAAACAAAATGCTATTTGTGTAATAGAAAAAGTGAAAAGCAGTTTAAAGCACCCCCACCCCTCCACTGCTTCCATCTTTTAGCTTTTAAATGCTTAAATTAAGTAGAAGCTATGACTTGAAACACCTGTTTCAATTTTTTAAAGCCAAAAACTCAAAAGCATTTTTTTAAGTTTTTGCGAACACTTCCTTAATTAGCTGTTAATTAGAACTTCAGAGTACGAATGTATCACATTTTCCTAACATTACCCTTCTTTACTCAACGATTATGGTGCAATTTCGAACCTCATACTTAACATGTGCTCAACACTTCAACCCGAAGTATATTTTGGACAAGGCAATTGCTATTAATTATTACTAGTAGCATATAGTGAATTGACAATGTTTTCACTTTTAAAATATTCTTGGGAATAATGGGATGTTCTCCATACTTAACTTTGTAAATTTGACCAAAGATTTTTTACGTAGGGCTTGCCCTCCTATTTGTTTGGCCTAGATGTAAGTGCTCAATCTTATGTTTAATTTGTAACATGTTTTTCATAGATACCATCAGATGGCTTCCAAGCTGTGGCAAAGCTTCAAATTCTAGATCTAACTGGTAATATAGGCTCTCTACCAGAAAATCCAGCATTCTCTTGCATGCCAGACTTGCAGGAGCTTTATCTGAGGTCTGCTTATTGGAACTTTTAACTGTGATGTATATTTAGTGCCATGGTGTTCACTAATCTTAGTTTCTCTGCATAACTGAGCAGAAGGATGTGTATATCTGTTGTTCCATCTGATATAATGAGCTTGAAGTGTTTAAGAATTCTTGATTTGAGCCAAAATGCCCTTCAGTCAATTCCTCAGGTAGCATCTTTGTCTATTCTAAATTAAAGACTTGCGTCTGAGTCAAGTATTGGCCCTTTGTGATTAAATTTATTTTCCTTTCCTGTTTGGTATTAGTTTGGACTTTGGGCTCTATAATTTTTCACTTGGTCAGAAAAGAATAAGGATTTTTATGATGTGTCTACTTTTGCATATAGATCAAGCTGAAAAAACTTGTAACCTAGACTATGATGTCAAACTGCTGTTTCAATCCATAGATATCCATAGACGCGTATAAACATTAGATCTTAACCCCGTTGTGATAAATTTGCTTTCTCTGCAGGGAATGAAAGATTTGAGTTCTCTTACAGAGCTGGACCTTTCAGACAATAATATTTCTACTCTTCCACCGGAGCTGGTTAGCTTACATAGCTAGCAATCCTAGCATATCCTGAAATTCATGATTATTAGTTTCCTAAACATGCATGTCTTAGAAACCAGGCAATAATTGAAGTTAATTACATTGCTTGCTTAAGGATTTAGTCAGAAGTGATTTTTTTTACTGTATACCTTTTATATGCATTTATATTCCCATTATCTCAAATCTCAAGGCCATATGATTATCACCATTGTGAACACCTTGATGCCAAGTGCCAACTTATGGTTCTGTACATTAACTAATTCTTTTTCTGGAAATTTTTCCATTAGGGCTTACTGGAGCCTTGCTTGCAAGTATTGAAAATAGAGGGCAATCCATTGCGGAGGTACTTTATTTTGCTCTCTGGTTTTTCACATCCTAATTATCACAAATAGCATGGTCAATTAACGTTATTTTTTAACCTTTGCCTCAGCATCAGAAGGACTATTTTGGATCGAGGAACAAAAACTATTTTGAAATACTTGCAGGACAAAATTGTACAGCATTAACAATTCTAATTTGGTTGAGATCCTTGTTTAGCTTTACCTTTTGGATATAAGGGTGGAAAAAGCCCTTTGTAGCTATAGCTTATAATCTTTTAGGACCGTGTTTCATGTTTCATTGTTTCATTTTTTGACTGGCAAATGAAGTAAAAATATTGTGTGTTTGAGATTGTCCGAAAGACACCCATGGTATAAACCACTTGTGGTTTCCTAAAAGGGAAAATGACACTTTTTTGAAATGGCCAAATAAGATAGAGAGAATTCCCTAAATAGGAGTAAAAATGTTTTGAAATTCCAAAATAGGAGTATCATGTTTTTATTCCCTAAATAGGAGTAAATTTCTGCCAAGTTTGGAAATTACAAGGCTTTAAACATGGCATTTTTTTCCAAACTTGGCAGATTACTCCTATTCAGGGAATAAAAAACATGATACTCCTATTTTGGAATTTCAAAACGTTTTTACTCCTATTTAGGGTAATTTCTGAATAAGATACTCCCTCCGTTCTTTATTAGCTGTCCCGCTAGCCTTGGGGACGGGTTTTAATAGAAAAATAGTAGAGTAAATGTAGAGTGTGTAGGGTAAATGATAAAGTAGGAGAGAGAGTATATTAAAAAGAGTAAAGTGGTGATAAAGTGATGATAAAGTAGGAAAGAGAGTATATTAAGTAGAGTAAAGTTATGATAAAGTAGGAAAGAGAAAGTAGTTTGTAAAAAGTAAGAGGGGTAAAAGTAAAAAAGGTGGGGGTATTTTATCAAAAACTTTCCTAAAATAGAAAGAGACAAATAATAAAAAACGTCCCAAAATGGAATGCGAGACAAATAATAAAGAACGGAGGGAGTATATGAAAAAGAACTATGGACTAAATATGGACTAGGGGAATAACGTCGCCAACCACTAAAAAATTAATGTACTTTGTATCTTTTTCATGGTATAGTTTTTAGAAACGGAGTATTATTGAGCCAAGAGTGTTTGAAATTAGGGATGGACTCGGGCCGAGCGGCCCGACCCGGAACCGGCCTTGCCCGGTCACTGTTTGAATCGGACCGAACCGGTGGCCCGGCCCAGGGGCGGTTCGGGTCGACCCGGCCCAGTGGGGTTCGGTTCCGGGCTCGGGCCCTCCATTTGGTGAACCGGCCCGGCTGGTCCGGGCCGATTTATTTATTTTTTTTTTTGAATTTTTTTTTTAAGTTTTTGGGTTGGGCTGGGTATTTTGGGTCATTTGAGGTGGTTTGGGGGTGAGGGGTGAGGGGGTGGGTTGGGGGTTAAATAGGAGAAGCCAAAAAAAAATTACAAACCGGGTGGCCCGGCCAGGCCCGGACCCGGACCCGGAACTGGTGGCTACCGGTTCGGGCTCGGGCCCAACAAAACAGAACCGAGGCCCGGCCGGGCCCGAACTGGCCTGAGTCCACCCCTATTTGAAATACTATGAAAGTTCATTGTGAGAGTACTGTCTCATTGCCATTGGAATGCGATGAACTGAATTTCATGAAGCAACGTTATCGTTAATAGTTGATAGTGTTTGATAGTGGATTGTAATTTGATGGCACATTGTGTTTGATGTTTTGACATGTAAATGGTATTAGTGGTTTTTAGAAAATTGTCAGGAAAAACTGATTTACTATATTAGGAAGTGAATTTCAAATGAGTATCATAATATGCCATTTACATCCTTTAAATAAGTGTCCCGCAAGGGTGTGAGAGTGAAGAGGTGTCACTCTTTTTCTTAAGAACATGCCATCATGTTTTATACTTTTGGCCATTCTCTCTGCTTAAGCAAACTTATCTTTTGGGGAGAGAGAAGTGGAAATAATGGGCATAGTTTTAAAATTTGTTTTCACGGGCGTAGGTATGGGTGGAATCGGGCTGGTTCGGGCCCGGTCCCGGCCGGGCCTCGGTTCATGAAAGGGGAGGCTCGGAACCGGCCCGGGTAACCCCCGGGTCCGGGTCGGGCCGGGCCTCGGTTCAATTTATTTATTTATTTTGGCTTTCCCTAATTAACCCCAACCCTCCCCCCTCACCCCCAAACCACCCCAAACCACCTCAAATGGCTCAAAGTACCCAGCCTAACCCCAAAACTTAAAAAAATTCAAAATAAATAAATAAATAAATAGGACCGGGCCCGGACCGGCCGGGCCGGTTCACCTTTTGAGGGGCCCAAGCCCGGACCGGAACCCCAGCGGGTCAGGCCTACCCGGACCGGTCCCTGGCCGGGCCGGCGGTTCGGGCCGGTTCAAACAGTGACCGGGTCGGGCCGGTTCCTGGGCGGGCCGCCCGGCCCGAGTCCATCCCTAGGCGTAGGGTCTTCATCATTCTCACCCAACTCAGAGGACCGGCCTTGCCTTGCTACCATGCATTGATTCGGTAAAATTTCAAATTGGTTTTGTTGACATTTTATATGTGTTAGCAGTGCAGTTACATTATTTTGAGGTCATGCAATTATATTCTCTCATACACATTATGTTGAATTGAGAGTGTAGCCTGATGGTTCCTAAGTCCGGGTGTTGTCTTAATGTCTTTCATTCTTAGACCATTTGAAGTGGTGTGAGAGTCTAAATGTAAAAAATGGACTCCGTCCATATGAAAACAGTGTTTTTACTCTTATTTCTCTGCATTCTAGCACCGTCAATAAAATACACTCTGCGCATTTTTTTACATATCACTTTAGTAAAACATTAATTAAATTATTATAAGTAATATTTTCCCTTTAATTTTCTCTCTGATTAATTATAAAATAAAAAAGACATATTTCGATATAAAAATAAATAAGTTTCATTATTTATTTTTTTACGTTTCTCAGTTAACAAAAAGTGAACTTATTTCATGTAAAGTTAGATTATGAAATATTCACTTATTTGTGTTGGTTGCATGAATTAAAAATATGTGTTATATGATTTTTTAGGCTCAAGAAAACTACAACAGTTAAAATTTAAAAAAAAAATCCATTTTATATATTACATATTGGTGTCATATGAAAGATCATTAAAAATTCATGAATTTTGATATATTTTTTGAAAAATTCGGAGGACAAATTAAAAAGTTACAAAAGATTAAAAGTTTTTGGGATTATAGTGACATCAGTATGACATCACGGTGACATCAGCGGAATGCATAACCTATGCACGAGGCGGCCTACTTTTTCTTTTTCTTTTGTTTTTCCTTTTCTTTTCTCCTGTCAATCCTCCCTCTATTTTTAGAACCCTCCATTCACTTACCCACTTTTACTACCCTCTATAACACACCACTAAATGAAATTAGAAGTCCAAAATTTCCATCTTTAACATTTTGGACTCCTAATACCTCACCACTCCAAGTGGTCTTAATGGTTCTTTACACATTAAAACTATACATATAAACTGATTGCATGTAAACTAAAGGAATGTAAACATTTTACATGTAAAATACAAAAACATTGTTTGGTGAGATATGTGATCCATTTTTAAATACATGCAAAGTAAATGCAATTTTTGACTTAAACTCATACGCAAAGTTCCAATAAAAAATCAAAACTTCCATTTTAACATGTCATCGTGGCAGAATGCAATATTATGACCCAATTAAATATCAGACCACAAAATAGCAAAACAACAAAATAGAAGAACCTTAGTATTGGACTATTGGTCGAAGAAGAAGAAAGAGTTGAACTTACACTCTCACCCATCAAAAAGAAAAAGCTATACGAGTATATATCATTCTAGAATAATTCAACATGCTAATCAATTTAAGAAATTGATATTTCGCAAAAAACAATATTGATAATCGATGAGGATTAAGAGGCCATAAAATAAGGCTATCAAACACCCAGGAAATGTATAAATTGAGGGGTCAACTTTTATTGATGTTCTACCCATGGATATGGGAGCTGTATTCTAATTTGGCAGTACGGGGATGCTGTACAGAAGTAGAGAAGAAGTGGCCGATGAGGAGATGCGGCCAAATTTATCGTGAAATAATATGGCTAAATTTTAATTAAATCAATTTTACCACCCTCCAGTCCCTCCTCCCACCTAAACTACTTTACCACCCCACGTAAAGTATTTTACATGGTACAGTGCAAAATATTTTAAAATGATACCCTATCGTTTACATTAAATAATCATACCAAACAGTGTATTTTGTTTGCATCCCTACACTTTACATGTAAAATGATCACTTTGCACTATAACAAGCACCCCCTTAGTTTAATAAATAGTGTCAAGTGATAATAAAAAGGAATAGAGCGTTGACAAACTATTCGGTGTTAATGTCGATTGTCGAATAATGGCAAGTGCAACCATTTGATACCACCGTTGTCACTGACAGTTACTAATGCTCGTTGTCTTCGTTGACTATGGCCTATGGGCTATGGGTACTAGTATCCAACTCTGTTAGGAGTGTTCAGTAAAAAAGTAAAAAAGTAATAGTAAATGGTAGGCCTGGGACCGGTTCGGTTCCTAGGTGAAATATGTGGAACCGTTTGAAAATATGAAATTTTACTAACGGTTCGGTTCTTATAAATTATTTTGTAGAACCGATAAGGAACCGAACCGTTCTTAACGGTTCGGTTCTTGTCATTTAACGGTTCCTAGTATTTAAAAAAAAACTTACAAATCACGGTTAAATTTGTGTCAAAAATACATTCAACGCTTGAAATTACAATACAAATATGTTGAATTTCATTTCAAACCTCAAAAGTTGAGTTTAAAAGATAAATACATAACAAACTGCAAATTTTAGAAAACAAAAACAAAACAAGATATTCGGTAAAGAAGCCCAATAAAACCAGTTAAATGAAAAATAATTTCAAATAGTTAAATAACTAAACTAAAATAGTGAATGTAATATGAAAATAAATAAGTAAATATACATTAAAATACATATACTAATAAGAAATATATATAATTTTAATTATTATATATAACGGTTCTTTAACGGTTCCACGTACATATTTTTTACAGGAACCGAGAACCGAACCGTTAATAAAAAGTAGGAACCGAACCATTAACAAATAACTAATAAATTTTGGAACCGAACCGAACCGGGTCATAACGGTTCGGTCCGGTTCGGTTCTCCGGTTCTTGGTTCCAAAGTCCCAGCCCTAGTAAATGGGCAATTACACATTTACACCCTTGAAATTTTAGCAATTCTACAATCAAACTATTGAATGCGTCAGAAGATCTTGCAAATACATCGCTCAATCTATTGAAATTAGTGCTAGACTCGGGCCGGGCGGCCCGGCCCGGTTACTGTTTGGCCCGGCCCGGGGCCCGGTGGGTCCACCGGTTCGGTTCGGCCTGGCCCGGCTGCTAGGCGGTTCGGGCCCGGGCCCAGGTTTTGGTGAACCGGCCCGGCCGGTTCGGGCCCGGTCCGGGCCGGATTTTAATTTTTTTTTTTTTTGAAATTTTTTTAAGTTTTAGGTTGGATTAGGTATTTTGGGCCATTTGAAGTGGTTTGGAATGGTTTGGGGTTGAGAGGGAGGGGTAGGGGATTAAATAGGAGAACAAAAAAAAATTAAGTGGGCCGGTTTGGCCCGGCCCGGCCCGGTTTGGCCCGGAACCGGGACCGGAACCGGCCACCGGCGGTTCGGGCTCGGGCCTCCCTTTCCTGGTCCGAGGCCGGGCCGGGCCCAGGCCCGAACCGGGCCCGAACCGGCCCGAGTCCAGCACTAATTGAAATAAAGCGACCAGTTTACATATGAGTGCCGGTAACTTCTCACGAAAAATATACCGTTTATCGACATGAATAAGTAAACAAGAATCCAAATGCTTTATTCCAATGGGTATTTGCCCCCCTTTTAGAGAAAGTAACGATACTCTGATTAGGGTTGAACAAAACAAAAATGATCTTTGTACCTACTCTTATACCCACATTTATACCCACCTATTTTTGTGAAATGTTTTTTTGTCTGTGAACTCCGGCTCACAGACAATATTTTGCACAAACAAAATATTGTCTATGAACCAGGTTCACAGACAAAAAAACCCGCCACAAACATGGTGGGTATAAGGTGAGTATAAGAGTGGGTACATCAAGCATTGTTGTGAACAAAATGTCAATAAAACGAAATTAACCTATGGAAATTGAATCATGATTTTAATCAAAATTGATCAAATGTTTTGGCTGAAGTTACTGGATGACCATTTTAGCTACTTTTACTTATAATTTTTTCTTTATTTTTTTAATGAAATATATTTTTTTTTTCCCTAAATCAGCATAATGAGTCGAAGCAGCCATTTCAGCCAGAACTTCATAAATTTCAGCAGAATCAGCCAAATTAGCCGATTTTCATGTTACCAAACGGGCTCCGGAGGCGGCTCTGCGGGCATTTAGCCCAGGCAACTGCCTGGGCTCTCTCATGCCAAGAGGGCCTCACATTAAGTACGATAGTATATAGTACTCCGTATGAAGTAGTAATTTTCTAGAGACTTGTCCACGGCTCCCTGCATCCGACGAATGGAAACCTGCAAATCGACAAGAAGCAAACCCATCAATTGCCAGCAACCGGCTTCTGGGTTCCCATCCCAACGACGACCAATAGACTTGGGTGAATGAGTCTTTGAGACTCTGACTTCTTTCCGAGTCTCCTTTTCTTAATACTCTGTATCTTATTATTCCTTCTCGGAGTTTCTAACTTTATCTCGTTCAATGTTTATCTATTTATCTTTATAAATTAAGCATTTAGTAAAAAAATAGTGAAATACAGATAAAGTTCTAGCCAACTAGCCTCAAGCTATAAGGTAGACGAAAACAGACAAGCAGTAAATGCAATTTGTTTTTACTATTTGATATTTTGAGGTAAATTCCTTAAAATGTTAAATACAAGTGAATGAGTGATTGAACTGTTGCAGTGAACTCTTGAAGGACTAATGCAAAATGCTTAATAACTTAAACATATGATTCATTATTATAACTAAAACTATTGGGTTAATATTGCTATATTGATATTGTATATTAGTATGTCTAAGATTATAAATACATGAAATAATTATTTTGATGGTATTGTTACTAGTAAAGTACTAATAGTATTTTGGTTTGATTTGTTAGTGTATTTAGAAGTTTTAGGTTTTAGGCAAGAATAATAGGCTAATGGGGTAATACAAGTAGCTTGCAGTGTATTTTTACATGCATGTACATTTAAAAACTTAAGGAAAACTGTCAAATATGTTCTCGAACTTTCATAAAAAGGTCAAATAAGTCCTTATATAGGAGGCTCTGTTCGGCCGTCGGGATTTGGGGCGGTTCCCGGTGAAATTTTTTGATGAAAATTTCTGAGCATCTTATTCATCAAGTCTAGTTTACGCATACCAAAATTCAGATAAAATTTCAATCGGGAACGCATTCAAATTAATTCTTGAAGATAACTGCGCATTTAACTGCACAGTTATCTTCAATAATTAATTTGAATGCTTTCCCTATTGAAGTTTTAGCTGAAATTTGGTATGAGTAAATTAGACTTGATGAATAAGAAGCTCAAAATTTTTCATCAAAAATTTTCACCGGGAACCATCCCAAATCGCGATGGCCGGACAGAGCCTCCTATATAAGGACTTATTTGACCTTTTTTTAAAGTTCTAGGACCTATTTGACAATTTTCCCAAAAACTTATTTTTTAAATATTAAAAACATTATATCATGCCCTTTGAATATGCTCTTTTTATGTGGTGTTTTTTATTCAATTATTCCATTTTTATATGCATAGTAAATTTTGTCTAGGGCCTCCGAAACGGTTATGACGCCCCTGACGGGCTCTTAGTGTGAGATTTAAGCATCGAAAATCAATTGAAGTGATCCAAAGGAATTAAAATCCACGGTCAAAATCGATCGAATCTGCTCGAAAATAACCAAATACGATCACATTTGGTTAGAGGAATAAGGAATTTGGTATGGGTTTTGGACGGGTTTAATGCGCCAAACCCCCCTGTGATTTGGAAATTCGGCGCATTAGCCCCCTGTGATTTAAAAAATGCGTCAAACTCCTCTGTGTTTTAATTAATCATGCGCCAAATCCCTTATGTGAACAAATTCAATTGTCAAATAAAAGAAAAATGATTAACATTTTTGTATGATTCAGAGATTTTGACATATTTATTTGCATATTCAATCAAAATATTAGGAAAAATGATTTTCAAAACGTTAAATTTATTCATAAAGGGGGTTCTGTGCATGATTAATTAAAACACAAGGGGGTTTGACACATTTTTTAAATCACAAGGGGCTAATGCGCCGAATTTCCAAATCACAGGGGGGTTTGGTGCATTAAACCCGGTTTTGGACTTAACTTTTTCAAATAGAATCAACCTAAAGCGAATTGATCAAATACAAAATGGACAAAAGAGTGTTTTTACTTGCTGCACGTTTACTTTGTTTTTAGTTAATTTACCTGGTAAAAGTTATTTTGTTGAGGACGCTTAATAATCCTGTCGCCTTAAACGATCGCTTCTTCTCTCCCAAAAATATGCGATTCCAGAAATGGGCAGCTCTGCAGCACCATGGAAGCACCATCTTCTCAACTCTCTGAACTCTAATTCTCATCTCAAGCACTCCATCTACCTTCAACTTGTAAATACACACACAACGATGCATTACATTTCCCTAGTTCTCTGTTTTTTTAAAAAAATAATTTCTACTGTTCTCTCTCAGGCAACAGTTGCACCAAATGGCAGGCCATCGAATCGCACCGTCGTCTTCAGGCCTGTCTCGCAGAAACTCCATAAATGATTCATACGATAGTATTTCCTTAATTTGTTGCACTCACACTGCTCAATTTTTAGCTTGGTATTGACTTTGCTGGGGCATTTTCTTTCAGAGGCTTTGCAGATAATAGTGATAAGATACAAATCAACACTGATTCCAGATCTCGGAAGGTTCTCGAAACACTCTTCTAGCATTTTTGTGCTTTGATTGATGAAGTATTGGCATGAATCTTTTCTTAAAATTGAATTGGTGCAGATCGAAGATATAAAGTACTGCCCATTTGCGGAGGTACCTAAGATCATAAATTTTCTTTCAGAGATGTTTGGTATGAAAATTTGTTCTTTTGTTTGTGTTTAAGTTTTTTTTGAGAGTAGTTTGTGTTTGAGTTTTGATTGAAAGGTTGAGGATGTTTTCTTTTATACTGTTTTCAGTCCCAGACCAGATCGGACCGGACCAGATCAGACCAGACTTCCGTAGTTATAAAATACACAGAGACTAGACGTTTACCAGACTAGTTCAGACCAGACCAGACCAGCAAATTTCAGTCCAAAAGAAAACATCCCAAGACTGGAGAGGAATTTATTTAGACAATTGATCGAACTACCTTATCTCTAATTGTAAACCAGCATGGTAGTAATTTGCTTATCTGGAAACATTCTTCTATACATTATTTACACTGCTTTTGGTTGCAATAAACAATGTGCTAAGCTGTGATGTTTCAGATATGCTGGTATTTTACTGATTCATGGGAGCAATATCGAATAAATGGAAGAATTCACATCATTGATTCAACAAACCCCAATCCAGTTAAGCTTCAGGTGATGCGGGAAAACATGACATATTCACATTTAGCACCACTTAGCAATTCCTTTTTATCAAACACTAAACGTTTGATTTCACACTTTAAAATAGTAAGTCTGACAGCTGAATGGGCTTGTCAAAGATGGCCGCTTTAGCTTCATTTTGCTGATAAAATACGGAGTATATTTTTAAAATAACTGTTCGATAATCCAACCAACTCAGGTGTTATTTTTAGCAGTTCTAATAGATTCAACCAATTCAGTGCTGCCAAACAGGCTTTGAGTTTGTGTTGCCTGAATGAATTACTTTAGATGCTTTGTTTGTGGAAGACTGGAAGCTAGATCAATACAATTTTATGCGTATCTCGAAAAATCAATGAAACAAACGTCCTCAAATTGAGATGAACTCTTTTCCTCCAACTTCATTTAAAATCAATGAATTCCTTTTCACTGATTTCAATTGGTGTTTTGGGATGGGTATGCAGCAAAGAGAGAGAGCATGGTTTGATAGCTCAATTAGATCAAGACTTCAGTATTTGGGGCCCTCCCCTGCTGCAATTCCTTCTTTGAAGGATACATCATTTCAGGAGCCTTCATTGGATCCTTTGGCTGGTCCGGTAGATGCATTTTGCCTTCTAGTTTTGGATCCCGAGCAGGTGAAGTCTGTCTGTTTTTTGTATACTTATCTACTCATCAAGCCGCAATGATAATTACCATTATTAGTTGAAGTTAAGACTAGTATTTGCTCACAGGTTGATTTCTTGAATTTGAGGAGTAACAAAAGGATCACATTTGCCTCCAGATGCAGCAGCATCAATGGAGAGAAAATTTGGACGTCTACTGAGATCAACCCGTGATTTCTATGTGATTGAAATCTTACCAATTTGAAAATTTGGACATGGACCGTTCAATGTTGAACGCAAGCATTATACGTCACCATTATAATGGACACAATCAATCTCTTTATAGTTAGCCGTCAGTAATGTGGATGGAGGTGTATTATAAACTGAATTCAGTAGTCCGTTGTATTTTTGTGTTTGAAATGCTTTCATATATTGAATTGGAACTCTTCAACAGAATAAATGTTTGTATTTTCGTTTCAGTCCCCCAATGAATCTAAGTAGTTGGGTTCGACAACATAACAAGGATTATTAATCAATTTTCTGTATCTTTTTATATGGTTTATCTTGTCATTTCAAAAATAAAAAAATTATCTCCTAGTAAACCACTGAATGATTAATTTCACTTTGTTTTAATTTAGAGTAGACAATAGAGTTATGCAACCAACATTAATATTTTTCTAAATAGATTGCCAAAGAATTAGAAAGAGGCTAAAAAATATTTTAGTCATAATAATAGAAAAAAGGTGTTTTTCACAATGCTATCGTATAAAAGATAACCTAAAAAAACAATCAAGGACCAGACAGATGAAAAATCGATATAGATTCAAATGATTGAAAGTATCAATCTAAGAGTTTAAAACTTTAAATACATGAATTTGATTTTAAATATTTTAAGTACTACTCTGTACTTATTTTTAAAAAAACTAATGAACTTATGTAAAGAAAAATTCATCCAAAATTAACAATAAAATAATAAAGTAACTGAAGAAATAAAAATCTATTATGTAGTATATTTTAAATCTTTGATTGATAGTTTCTAACAGTTATAGTTTTCCAAATATATCTTTTGGGTATTGAATTGAGAACACTCCAAAGAAAATAACAAACTAACATCAATTTTATAAAACAAGGTGCTACCAATTAACATATCTCAGAGAGTTCACTCATGCAGTGTGAGCAGTGAGTGAGTGGTATAAGCATCTTACAAAAAAGAAAAAAGATAAAAAGAAAAACATGCAAATAAACGGCTGCAGTAGTCAATAATATAACAGCAGCAGGAGGCATGAAACATTCAAAGCCACACCTACGCAGATGAATAAAGGAGCGGTCCTTGAAGAGAATCAGGTGACTTCAGATACTCTAGCACAGGAGTCAACTTCATTCCGATGATTTGAACTTGTGGGTTAGAGTGGCCATCCAAGAATACATTTGTAACCTGGGTACAGCCAAACAACTTCAGGACTTCAAGGGACAAGCAGCTATCTGCAATCAAACCTAGGGCTTCATCTGTGAGGGCGCGACACCAGGAGACATCTAAACTCTGCAAATTTCTACAACATTTCGCAAGTGCCATTGCAGTGTTGCATGAAACCTTTCTGACACTATTAAGGGAAAGTTCTTTCAAGGAATTTCCACGAGTTTCGAGATATGCAGCAATAGCTTCATCGCTGAATGCATTACGGCAAAGGATTAGCTTGTTAACTGCTGTACAACCATTCGCAAGATAACCAACAGAGTAGTCCGTCAATTTGCTTAAGTTACTCAGATCTATTGCACTCAATCTAGGACAAAATTCAGCCACAGCTTTAACTGAACGATCAGTCAATGTTATGCAGTCCTTCAAAATAAGCTCTCTCATATTCTGACCACGTCTAGAGACAAACTCAACAACAAATTCATCACATACTGTGTTGACACCAGCAACTGACAAAACCTCTAAATGCTCAAGTTTTAACAATGATGGAAGAACCAGAGCACTGATTGCTTGGCAATCATCTAAATACAATTCCTTTAAAACTGACCCCAATGACTCGGACAAGCATTTGATTCCATCAGAAGAAAGCAAAGAGCACTGACTGAGATTTATTGACTTCAGCGAAGGTGCAGCAGAAACAAGAGCACTTAATCCAGAATCTGATAACCTACAACCACCCTTCAATGATATATTGGTTAGAGCAGGCAGACTGTTTGGCACACGAGCTAAAGTAGCTAAAAGTGCATAATCTGGCAAACAACGACCACATTGATCAAGTTGTAGCACTGTTAAGTTGCTGGTTATACACTCTCCAAAGGATTTAATGAACTCTTCCTCAGTTAACCACGAACAATCCTTCAGACGTATCTCGGTAGGGGATCCACATGTAAGAAGTCCAACAAAGTGATTATTCATTTTCCTTGAATCGCATAGAATATGGCAGAGCTTGTGTCTAATCACATCAGGAATACAATCCAGTGAAGTAATTCCATCTGCATTCTTCACCAGAATGGACATGCACAGATCTTGCAATGAGGGGGCTACCTTCCCCCTCTCATTCGGTTGTGGTTTCCTTTTTGGAGTCCACACAATGGATGCATCCATACTTTTTGAGGCAAAACCCTTCTGTTCATGCGCATTTTTTTTATTTTCACGATCTTTGATGATCTTCATAGCTGTGGAAAACGGCCCAGGCCAATCTTCTTCTAGTTCTTCCATTGGTTGACTTTCTCTAGCAGCCCCATCAGTAACAGGATTCTCCTCCTCTGAGGAGTGGAAAAGAGCAAACCGTGATGCATTTTCTCTGGCAATGTCCTTGAACTGTTGCTTTCTGTAACCCCAGTTTGTATTAGCCACATTTACAGCAGGCTCCCTGACTTCTACTTCATGTTGTGTTGCTTCAAGCTTTACAGTATTGCGGGTTTCTAATTCGGATCCAGAATCCTTGGATAAATCTGTGTCAACCATAATTCCTTTCCCTTTCTCCTCTCTACTAAGTCTCGTACTTAGATTTGCAACATCACTGCTTTCATTTTTAGATGGACCAACTTCAAATTGCGCAGAACTAGAAGGCATTACACATGGTCTCTCATCAATCTTTCCCTTACCCTTCATTTCAATCGCTAACCTCTCGCTCTTGAAACTCTCATTCCCACCACTGTTAACATCTAATACTGAATTTGTCAGCACCGCAGCCACAGAACCCCCACCATTAGGCACTCCCTCACTCTCTTGACCAGAGCACAACTTATAATCACAGTCACCAACTCCGTCGGAAACAGATAAACTCTCAACTTTGATTTCTATCTTAGCTGCCGATTGCCTCGAGTTTGAACCAAGGCACTTCTTCTGTGGGTCACCTTGTGTTTGTGCTTCCTCCTTTTCTACACTATCACCACTCACACAACTTCCTAATTCACATCCGTTACTAGCAGGAATAATATCAGCAGAAACATTACTTCCTTGGGTTAAATTTTCAGTATCTTCTCCAATTCCACTGATACCTGATTTGGCAGCCAATCTTAGACTTCGCCTTCGTACAGCACTATTGGATGCTAAACGTTTCCTGGAAGAGGAAGAGCCTGAATGAGGGGTAGTATCCACAGGTACATCGCTCTGTGTATCACAACTCTTTGTTGGGGTAGAGAGTTCCGGAGCATTGGTTTTGCGTTTCTTCGGCAAAACAGTCGATCGGGGTGTAGAAGTAGAACCCACTTCTCGAGATCGCAAAACCGTCATCTCGTGAACTGAGCGAAGTTAGCGGGCAAAAGCAAGGAGATATGAGATTTATATTCCGGTGAGATGAGAGGTAGACAATGGCAGCGGTTAACGACGGCAACGAGGTGGTAGCGCCATTATAGAACGGTTTACAGAAACGCACGTTTTAAGGGTTTGCATACAAGGATGCGTTTGTTGAAAGCTTTCAAGACACGCTTGCGCTCTGTTTGGTAACGAGCCTTTCAGCCAAAGTTTGGCTGATTAGCGAATTTAAGCACTCCCCTGGTGTCCTCTTTTTTACTTATCTGACTAGAATTTCACTCGTGCGTTGCACGGGATGAAGTTTAAATTTATTATATTATTTCTAATAATTTAAAAATGTGATGATAAAGACTCATTTTTGAAAAATGATTTTTTTTCTCAAAAAACTAATAAGTGGAGCTAAATGTCAAAATATTACTTCCTTCGTTTAATAAAATTTGACGAAATTGGCTTTTAGTGATCAATGATCTTAGATTTTGGATAATAATTTTGGGTTTATGTTCGTGAGGAATTTATAAATTTTGCATTTTTAACAAAGAACTTTTATACAATTTTCATATTTTAAATAATTTTGAATTTAAAAATAACATTGATCAAACATGGTCATCATTGATCAAGAAAAGTCAATGTGCTAACTCTAAGCATATATATTTCGTTCTTTTTATTTTATTTTTGGGTGTTTATAAAAACACATTATATTATTCTTTTGAAGGGATCCACCACTCCTTCCCAATACCCACCATGTGGTCCATGCCTATCCTAGATAAGGTTCGATTCTAATTTTGTTGAAATACTATTTCGAATGCTTGTGTAACCTACTTTTCTTGAATCACATAGTTGGGAGCCTAAGATTGAAATATTGGGCCAATTCCACATAGATTGTGATAGCTCGCTCCCAAATGATCTGCTTCTAATATATGAGATTTATACATGTAATTCACGAAGTCCACTAAATTTAAGCATTGAAACAAAAAATGAGGTATATATATATACAGAATTAACAGTAGAGATGGATAGATCAACGATGAGGCTCACCTAATATAATTTGCATGAGGTGACTCCATTTTTGCTAAAAAAGTTATTCAATGGACCAAGTTTTTCACTCATTTACATCAATAATTAAAGTTACCAAAAAATACACCAACTCTAATTGAATGATTAACTAATATCAACCGTTAGATAAATATGATGGTAGGAAAGTAAACTTCTACTCCGTACTTTTTATCTTCACACAAATTGAATAACCAACCATTAGAAAAAATTATAGTCAATGCTAATGAGTAAAAACTTAGTCATTCAATTCCTAAATGGCCAAAGGTGGAGTGCATGATATGGGAATCCCATCAGGCGATTGACTCAAACAACCTTCTATTGTAACAATAGCAAGTTAATTATTTGCATGTTTTGAAGTAAGGTTTGAACTAAAATCAATCCGAAATATATCTAGCCTAGTGCCATACACGTGATATTCAAAATAGCAGTCTGCAAAACTTGAAACTGGAACTTGAAACTGCAAAATAGCAGCCTACGATATAATAAAAGTTCAGTTCATTCACGTCCTTTGCACATGTACACAAAACATAAGCCAAGTGTGAAACATTTATTGAAAACAATTGGATTGATAATAGCTGCAATGATGAAGGATTCAGCTCCTACCATCAACATAGCAAATTAGCAAGAATATATAAGGTAAGTATATCATATCAAGTTTGCTATGCATAAGGACATCAATCACATGAGGTCTCTATTTATAACAACCTGTAAATGATGTTTGAAGTAAATATAACAATATCCATCAAACAGTAGAGTCATATAGTTGGCAACCAACGAACACCAACTAAGTGGTAAATATCCTGGAGCAAGTAAGTTATATTATGACATATATGCCTCAAGTTTGTTCATAATTTACAATACGATGAAACATGAGTACTTAGAAAAGAATTTTATCACACCATGGTGGATTCCATCAGGATTTGTTCAATTTTATATTTCACATTGGGCTAAAATTGAATCTATAAACTGAACCTTGGAGCCGTTGGAGGCCATGATAGAGAACGATAGTATGAAGCTGGACAATGAGATCTCATTTGTAAATATAAGAATTTTAGACTTATCATCTGAACCTCCTGCACAACACACTGAATCTTGCTATATTCTGGAAAATTAGAGAGCAATTTGGATTAGAAATATATGTGATCTTTATGCTAGGAAAGCACAAAAAGGATATATTGCACAAAAGAAAATTCATTATTAATATCAGAAAGAAAACATGTAACACCCCGGCCCCGCAGGACCCAAGGTAGTTACTTCAGACCTCTAGTACTGTCCTCACAAACCACCACAAGCCTTTACCGCGCACTTTGTCCTCACTCATGCGCGCCCTGAGAAACTTCCCAGGGGGTCACCCATCCCAAGACTACTCCCGTGCGAGCACGCTTAACTTTGGAGTTCTTGGGTAATGAGCTCCCTTAAAAGGAGATGCACCTCTGTTGGTATGAGTAGTATTATTAATCCGTTTATATTAAATCTCAAGTGTTACAATCACCCCCACTTAGGATCGCAACGTCCTCGTTGCGCCCTTAAACCAATCTCAATCAAATCCCAGAAACTTTTCCCCTGCTAGGTGTCTGCCCGATATCCAACGGATCAGCACACTGTCGCAGGGTTGCTCTGATACCACCTGTAACACCCCGGCCCCGCAGGACCCAAGGTAGTTACTTCAGACCTCTAGTACTGTCCTCACAAACCACCACAAGCCTTTACCGCGCACTTTGTCCTCACTCATGCGCGCCCTGAGAAACTTCCCAGGGGGTCACCCATCCCAAGACTACTCCCGTGCGAGCACGCTTAACTTTGGAGTTCTTGGGTAATGAGCTCCCTTAAAAGGAGACGCACCTCTGTTGGTATGAGTAGTATTATTAATCCGTTTATATTAAATCTCAAGTGTTACAAAACATCAACAAGAGAGAACCTTCACATAATGGCATGCTGAATTTTGTCCTTCCTCTCAAGCATTTGACATAGACAAAAGACATTTTCATTGATTTTTTTCTATAATGCATCGATTTTTAATGTTCAAGTCAATATCATTGGCGAGCATGGAGGAGAAAGAAAGGATTGATTTTCAACGTCATCTCAAGGAGGTCATTGTACTTGTCCTTGAAGTCTTGTTTGTTCTCTCCAGTGCATAACATAGCTCTAATACAATAATTTAGACGCAAACCATTGTCTGAACTACTAATCTCCTATCAATAAAAAAAATGTTTAGAAAAGCAAAATACATGCTACCAAAAACTGCACCACACCAAACCATAAGTGAAACTTGTTTATGGATGTGAAAATTATTGTTGAAGATCACTTCAGGTCAAGGTAAACGGTGAAATATATGGAGACATGCAGCCCATGAGTTCAACTTGATTTTAGTATTTATATACCAAGCTGGAGAATGAGATCATGTTGTAAATGTAAGAATTTCAGACTTATCATCTACAAACAAAAACCTGGATTAATGCTACTTAAAAAACAAATACGATCACCTAAGCTTTTTTTTTATCAAACATGGCATATGAAGGAGAGTACCTATACTATAGAATATAGGTTTGTCTACATATAACAACATAAATATAGTTTCAATACATATATAGCTGAGGGAGAATTTCTTATTCAGAATAGGATGTCTAATAAAATGAAAAGAGTGAAGCATCTACTGTAAATAAAAATTGGAATCTATATGAGTTGAAATAAAAATGAAGCAACCCCTATTCAATTTACCATGTTTTATGTTCTCAATGTGAACCTAAATTTCAAGAAGACATGGTTTCAAATAGAAGTCAAACAAACCTTGGTGCAACAGAATGAAGAATAAAAAGGATATGAATTTCAACAGAAATCACACTCAAGAAATAGAAAAAGGAAATGCATAGGAAAAAAATACCTACGATGGAATGTACACTGAATGAATTTAGAAAGCTGAAAGAATTTGGGATTTCATGTTGTGAGTAAACAAAAATTAAATTAGAAGTAAAAGACATTAATACCAAGAGCTAAAACAGAGATTTCACACTTGTTGGGAGACAATAAGAGGACTTTACTAATATAGATAATATTGCACAAGCTATGACCTAACATATGCACACACAATAAAATGAGATGATAGCATTATCAGATGCATTTTAAGATTTACACTTGAGGAGCATGTGAGGAACTGCTGTATTGGAAAAACAACCAATTGTCATTGCAATTTGCAAAAATGAAAAAAAAAATCTTAGTAATAATTTTTGTATGTCCATCCTCAAAAGTAAAAGCTGCATCCACAAGAAATACAACACTGAGCTTAATAATATTTTATGTAAGTCCACTACATCGAAGTTGATAAAGGTATTGTCATTTGGAACATCTATGAGATTGGAAGTAGTAGTTCTTGATGGCTCCAATTGACTATCAATTGCCATCATACTTGAACCTCCTTATAGTTCTTCACATTCAGTGCATTAAAAATGAGAACGAAAATGAGCATTGAACATTTCGCCACAATACAATTATTAAAATCTTTACTCTGTCAATTTTAGTTTAAAGAAGACTATGTCAATTTTAAAAGAAGAGTAATAACCCAAGCTTAGATGCTTAAAATAAGAAAACATTTTTTCTGCAAAACTAATTTCACTGTTTGATATTTGAAATTTTATCGCTTCTTCGTTTAGTAGTAATGCTGATTATTTTGATGCTTAAATCAAACTCGCAACTTCTAAATCATAAGAGATCCCAGCCACCATTAGGTTCACTATTGAGCTAATTATTTTGATCCTTAAAATCAAACTCACAGTTTCTAAATCTTAAGAGTAAAAAAAAAATCTTAAGAGTAAATAATTCCAAAAATGAGAAATAAGCTAAAGAGATTTAAAAGATAAAAGAAGAGTAATAACCCAAGCTTATAAGCTTAAAAATACGAAAACTTTTTTTCTGCAAAACTCATTTCCAATGTCTTATCTCTAAAGTTTTCTTGCTTCTTTGCTAATAGAGTTCCAATCATTTTTATTCTTAAAAATCAAACTCACACGGGGAAAAACTATTTTTTGCACAATCTCTAAGGTAAAAATGCAGACTAATAAAAACGAATATTAGAAAATATATTTCCAGGACTAAATTTGAGGCAAAGTACCCAAAATGGAAAGAGATGAAATCAAATGGAAGAAGTACCTTTTGTCTTGCTAGAGT